TGGTAAATGGTCATCTGTTGGCATGGCGCGGATCAAAGGTAATCCTCGCGCTCACCGTGTATTGACATTGCAATATTAACCAGACGGGCCAGGCAAACAGGGAAATAGACGTCTTGCCGGGAATGCCATTTGTGAGGGGTAAGGGACGGCGTGGTATAGACGTCTTGCCGGGAATGCCATTTGTGAGGGATAAGGGACGGCGTGGCATAGACGTCTTGCCGGGAATGCCATTTGTGAGGGATGAGGGACGGCGTAATAGCCAGAACCGCGGCCAGGACCATCGCCGCAGAACACTATTACCAGCCAGGGACTATATCGGCATCGTGCGTACATCGTTGAGGCCGTCTGGGCGTGGCACCAATAACTATCGGTACAACCCTAATATGAACTTGGTCACACCTCTACCACCCTTGTGAGGTCATTTGGGGACATTCGGACGCCAGTCAATACGGAGTAAGCAGGTGGAATGGCGGTGAGAGGGCAAAGGAACTCTTTCAGCGTTCGCCCAAGGGCCATGCTACCCTTGGCCACATCGTTGTCTACGTCCAAGAATATCTTTGAATACTTGTTGCATATCGTCGGCAATTTTACACGGCATTTTAGTTGATGTCATTGGGATAGGCTAGGTGAGATGATATCATTTGAGAGAATCGTCACTTGTTACCCTTCTTTATTGAGCTAGTAGCTGCTCATTTAGTTAGATCATGTTAAAGAACTACTTAAGTTTATATTTTCAAAGAATTTTCGTGAACCAAAAGATGTAAAGTGCATTACGAATGTGCTTAATTGCAATGATTCCAAGAATGGGGGCCCAGTCCCTCAGAGGCAGTGACCAGAAGCTGGCTCCGCCGGTCCGACGGCCACTGCCGGAATACCCACTGACAGCCGTTCCGCCACAATTCATAAGACCACAGCGTGCTTGAAGGTCAAACCAAACCAGCAAGTCCGTATGTCTGCACACATCGGGACTATTGCCAGCACAGTGACCTGCTTGGAATTTCAAACCTCCCCTTCTCGAATGCAAAACTGACACATAAAAAAGTACTAAAAATTTCGCGTCGCTCCGCTCCACTGTATTTTGTTGCTGCTTTGTTTTTGCTTAGCCTGGGAAAAAAGGGGACCGACTTCTGCAACCCCTGCTGAGCCCAGCTCATACTCTGTCTACATTTCAAATCAACGCTTAATGACACTAAAACTGTTACAAAGGTGGTTTTTCAAAGAAGTAATGATGCTGCATTAAGACACTGCCATAACAAAAAAATCACAATGGTTCTTAGAATCGTCTCTCCAGTACGATCATAAGCGTAGCAAATATATCGTAATACCACTATCATGCAAGACACTTATATACATGATATAATAAAATACACAAAATGTTTCAAGGCATGCAATGAACGATGTGCTAACTTACAGTTATTGCGCCTCCATTGAGCTCCAAGCCCTACAATACTCAATACTGAACAGGTACATATCCACACGCAAGTTCAAATATAACAGGAGAATAGTGGATTCAACGATGGGTTCATTCCGCACCCAACCCGACAGCTGCCACAAACCCTTCGCGTCACACTTCGCGTGTAGTGTCTCAGCCCGCGCGGTCCCGACTCTGTCGCCTTGTCCTCCACTGCCGGCGGCCAGGGACGCCCAGGCGTCTGTGCTGTCCTCCGCAATTAATTATCCCTCCCACCCCTCGACACATGGCAGCGTCACTGTCCACGCAACCACGGTGGCCAGGGCCAGCCAGCCCCGTCTGTCCGTCCCAACAGCTAGCCGCCGTCACAAGCACAGAGTACACTGCGCTGCGCTAAACTACGGCTACAACGAGCACCTCTAGAATTCTAGCACAACTGCGTCAGCCACTCCCTCATGGGATGCAAATATAATGCACACACACACACACACACACACACACACACACACACACACACACACACACACACACACACACACACACACACACACACACACAACACACACACACACACACACACACACACACACCACACACACACACACACACACACACACACACACACACACACACACACACACACACACACACACACACACACACACACACCACACACACACACACACACACACACACACACACACACACACACACACACACACACACACACACACACACACACACACACACACACACACACACACACACACACACATATATATATATATATATATATATATATATATATATATATATATATATACATACATATATAATACATAACATAAACAAATAAGTGAAAGACTTTCGGCGACATGTCCTCCAGTTGCTAAGCAGATCCAGCGAGAACCGTTTGAGATTGTGCGCTGAGCAAGTACTGTTTGGGTGCCTTGGTGCTTCGAATGTCGTCAACTACGTCATCCTGCATGCAAAGATGGAAATTGTAAATGCTAAGCTGGGAGCTTGTGGATAGTTGACAGCGAGAGAGCTCAGGGCCAGACTTCTGGGCCAGTACAAGATAAACGAGTATTTTGTGGCAAAGGAAGGCAAATGAAACCATTTCATGGCAAACGGAGCCGCATGATCAGAAAAGGCGCATTTGTAACTGACTTTGGTGTACACCGTTCGGAGACGAACATTGCAAAAAGAACTGCCTACGTACCTGCCGAGCGCACTGCATAAGACCCGCGCGTGTTCGAGTTACGTCATGTGTTTGTGCAGGATGTGTCAAAATTGATAAATAAGCAGGTGTTCATTCACGTGGCAGTGTAAATGTTAGAGAGTCTAGAATCAATAAAAAAATCCTTTTATCCGTATATATCACCGGGCAGTCTACAACGGTCAGATAAACAAATTCTGCTGATCGATCCATCCATTCATCCATATATATATATATATATATATATATATATATATATATATATATATATATATATATATATATATATAGCCGAGTGGTTTGGAGCAACATCATCGCACCGCAACATCGTACCAACATTTGGAGCAATGTAGTCGTACGATTGTGAGGGATCTTCAGTATGGTGAAAATGTTGTGTATGTGGGCCCCTTGGTGGAAATCTGCGCGAAGAATGTTTTCTCCCGCAAGGTTGTGTAGTTTAGAAGGGTTGTCCCCTTCTATTTGACAATAGAGGGGTACGCGTCCACCCCGCCCCCTTCTCCCCCGCTCCGATGGGGCCGCCGCTGGCAACAAAATGAAAGATGTCGAGCCATGCGAAACAAAATTACAGATACTAAACAGACATCTATGTGACATCGCTGCTCCATCAAAAATAGTTTTGATGAACACACATCGTGGGCGCAAAATGGCCTCGATGCCGACGCGCCCTTAAACACCAGATCATCACCATCATCACGATGAACGCACATTGTACACCGTTGCTCATCCAGATGTGTCCGATGCAAGATCTCAATTATTGACACACATCTCTCTGGTAAATCCCTTGCAACTTAACAAACCACTCAAATGCATGACAAAACGGAAAGCCTTCGCTGGTTACTCATTTACCGGCTTGATTGCTAAGCCACCGGCTAGTACCGATATGAATAAGATGGAACACCAGCCGAGAAAACCCGTCAACCAGATCCAACAGTTCTTGCTCCGAGTTGACGAATGATGTAGCATCTTTAAAATCACTTGCCACCGGTATAGATGAGAGCGTTAAAGCCACTGCTGCTGATTTTTATCATCGCTAACTTCACCCGAAACCCGACGGAATCCGACCGTCTCGGGCCCCATATGTTGATGCGTCATAGCTAACGCTGCTCTACCCGCGGGCTTGTGAGCCGTGCGGTAGTGCAGCAGGTCCTAGTACCGTGCGGTAGTGTAGTAGGTTTTAGTACCGTGCGGCAGTGCAGCAGGTCCTGGTACCGTGCGGTAGTGTAGCAGGTTCTGGCACAGCTCCAGGTCATTCATAGGGTCATCAGCGGCCACGGGTGCCGGCGGCCACGCGGCTACACTTCCCGCTGACGCCCCAGGAAGGGCATGCGGCCGCGCCAGAGCCTCTGCTCTGCCGGACGCTTAGCAGTCACGTGGTCGTAACAACGCTGGCAGCCATATGTCGCCATGTGGCCTATTTGATGCCTGCGGCAGTCGCCGTCCGTCTGGCTTCGTTTGGTGGCAGCGATAATGAGAAGGCAGCCATTGCTTCGACGCTGTTATCTGTGGTATTCGACGACGTTGTTATCATTGACCAGCGGCGAATGATTTAGAAGATTCTGCGCCGTTCGTCAACTCGAACACATAATTATCAGATATGACAGATTAATCCTCTTGGCTAGTGTTCCAGCTTCTTCAGATTGACGTAAGCAGGTGGCTAAGCAATCTAGTCGACCAATGGCTGAAGCTGAGACCGCGTGACCAGAATAGGGGCTACACCCCTGCACGCTCATCCACAATTATGGTGATGAGTTCTAGAGAAGCTGAAGAGAACGCGACATCTCTGTCGCCTCCGTCCCCTCCTGTGGCAGCACATTAGGGTTAGCGTTTGTCAGCACGCAAAGAGTTAGTTATACAATGCACTCAGACAGCGTTTGTTTCAGTGGCGAATGCAGGAATCACTTAGTGAGAACTCGTCGCGCTGACTCTTATCTTCTTTCAGAAGCCATCCATGGTGCTAAATGGCGTAAGCCTCTGGGGGAAGGAGGGGGGGGGGGAGGGGGGTGGGAGGTCCGGTCACCCTTGACTGCACCTCTGCTCTCAAACAAAGCAGTACTCAACAGCATGGCGTTACAACGAGGTGAAACAAAATTAAAATGAAACAGTTGCAACGGTCTGCATTGTTTGTCATACATTGCTGATGAATAAACGCTTTTTGGAACCATAATTTCCTCTTTTTTATGAGAAATGCAGGAGTAATAATAAACTGCATCTTTGTGATACAGACCCAATGCCTTAGCCAGTCATAATAGCATTTTCCACTTGGAGGTATCACTGGATAACCGGACCGTTCCGAAGCCAATATCCAAATGCATAATGCAACTTATCTACTTCGCATTAGAAGGGTGGCTTCGCTTGCTTTAATTATAGCTCTCGTGACGGACTCGAACACATTCCTTGGGATTCGTAAATTCATACACCGAAAAATTATCGGCATGCCATAGCTCATCTAACTGTGCCCATCTTCAGGGAACAAAGCGATCAATGCCTTAGCCTTATTCAGCAGCAGGTCTGCGTTGACCACGAGTGATGATTCCACCAATCACTAGCATACTCCCCCTCTCTATCGTGGGACTTTCTGTTTTCTGCCATACTTGTGCTGCATTTTATTTCAACTCGGTTGACAGCGATGACAAGGAAATACTGAAACAGCCTTGGGGTCCCACCATTGGCGTGAAACAAGCCATCGTGAATCCTGTACTTATGGAAGTTAACGGCGGTGGAAATACTCAAGTGGACACTGTCAGCGAACCCGAGACTGGTGGGATAGAGGACTTCTTTCATCCTAAACCAAACATTAGTGAGTTTTCTGTGCGATGTATGGACTGCGTTTGTTTAGGTTTTAATGTCGATGTTGTTGTCAAAGACATCCTCACTCTTGCACTTTGTTTAGTACAAAAGACGGGCCTAACTATACATCGGCACGCATGAAGAAACATAAATGAAACGTTTCCAGTTACTAGCCGCGAGATCCTAGTCTTACTGTGATCCAGTTCGTCTGAGCATCCTTTGAATCCGGCCATTCCAATGTAGAATGTGCTTTGTGCATCTTAACTAGTTGAGGAATCCAGTTCATTATTGTAGCGAAGGGTTTTTCAGTGTTTGCCACAGCATCTCCGGTGCTTCTAAGCTCTTCAAAGTTCTTCGCTATTGAGCAGCAGTTATAAGTTGTTCACTAAAGCAAGTTGTCCTTGCCTTCACGTCACGACCAAATATTTGCATTGCTCGTCAGAAAGCTTGAGCTTTCAGGAGCAGGTGGAAGTGCGCACCATCACACAAGCGAGGTCAGATGTCACCTAGTTGGGATCTACTCCACCTAGATGGATTACTCCGCTTACCATATATTGTTACGCATGATAGGTCGTAGCGTGGCATCGCTAGGTTGCCGGCTGCAGGGTACGATACGAGGCCTCACGTCACCCGCCCGAATCTCGCGCAGCTCACCTGCCGGAGATGAAATGTGCGGGGGTACGCGACGAGCGGTACCGGTGCTGTCGCGTGTATGACGACATGGTGGAGGCCTGGTGGTGTCCCGAGAGTCGACCCTTCTGCTGCCAGCAGGTCAGGCGAGCGGCACAGTATAGTGGGCTTATCCGGACGATTAGCATTGCGGGGGCTCGCTATGATGGTAGCTGCCTTCATCATGAGCGGATTACCTGTATATTTAGAGCGGCTCGTGCCTCCCATTTTTTTCTTTCATCAGACGCATGGACGTTGTGCATAAATAATTGACATGGAAACCCAACGTGCGGATGAGCATCTTTGTTTGCATAGATGCGCTTGCCTGGTTGCCTTTGGTGAGGCTTGGGATCTTCAAAATGAGAGCTGTAAGAATTATTTGAACCTAGCCGTGTCCCGCTTCCATGAACCCTCCCGCTATCGATTCTGTTCTTGTTAATAAAAAAAAAAACAGACCGTGGACCAGTAAAAAATACCGAGCCTCGAAACTTGGGCTGCGCAGCAAACCGCAAGGACGTCGTTTGCATTTCACGCAGACCGTCCGCGTTAAGCGCTCTCAACAGCTAGCTAACGACGTGACGCGTAATCACGAGTGGCGGCTTCCCTGTGCTCACTCATGCCGCCCCCGCCTCCCGTCAGGAGACCGCATGCGCCGTGTGCTGCACCGTCGACGAGATGCGCGACCAGGAGAGCCGCCGGCTGCTGGGCGCGGGCGATTGCCGCCAGAGGTCTTCCGTCGTCCATCCTCAACCGCCGTCGCCGCCGGTCGATGACGAAAGCTGGTGCGGCCCGCTACCGCCGCGTCACCTATACGCAATAATTGTAACTAGTAGTTCGACCAGTCGCGGGGCGCAGTATTGATTACTGGCGGGCGGCGACGCGGCGATACCTTATGATTCACTGGGGGCATATTTCCCGCTCGGTTCGAGGAAAAGCTGTCGCACACCCGTGCAGCAAGCATAGTCTCCACCCGACGATATGGTCTCGGCTGGCAGGTTCTGGAACGGCATGAAGGCGGCCTGGTTGACGATGGTGGGAGTGCTGCTGGCCTCCCTTTGCTGCACGTGCGTCGCTCACAAATGCATCACGTACCTTGTCAGCGTCATTAACGACGATAGTAAGGAAACGCAACAGCTCTGTTCCAGCCATCTGGCACCTTGAGCAGAACTTAACGCAAAATGTATCCATATAACCAAAAGCCAGGATACATTCACAGGCAGGCACGGGTTCGTAGCCAGACCGGTGCACTGGGTGCCCATGCAGCCCCGGGTGCACCCCCAGCCTCGTACCACTGCTACACTTAAGCGTGGGGGTGTCAGGAACATAGAATGTAGTGCTGTCTTGTGTTGAGGTCTGCAAAAAAATTGCAAAAAATAAGGCAAATGTAATTGGGCCAGCCTGTAAGGTGTAGATCACGTTTAAACCCTGTGTCCGTCCTTTTCCTGTAACCCCAGTGCACCGCTTGGGATTTTGGTCTGGCTAGGGACCTGGACAGCACTAAAGCACCGGTACATTTATACGTAGCTTTGAAGCAAAGGCTATGGGACAGTGAGCAAAAATCGCCACTGTTTTACCAATTTTAATGCCTCATAGTTTTTCTACCGGTCAGAGGCGAAGTTTTCAGGAGCCATTAAAACCCTCCCGATGCCTCTGCAACACCTGGAAGCCTCATCATGTATCGCTCTGCAGGCGAGGACCTGGAGGAGGAGTACCTGGCGTACCACTTCGACAACATGACACTGGTGGGCGGTGAGGACCACCCGACGGGCCAGCCTACCGCCAACAGGAGCCAGCTGCCGCCCAAGTACTCCGACATCAACTTCATGCCGGTCCAGCCAGGTCAGCCGGGCTCGACGTCTGCGTTGTGTCACGTCTGTATGCGGCCTGCTGTACACCCGTAGTAAGCCATCACCAGCCTGAGACCGGGGACGGCGGTGATATCGGAGTGGTTGTTAGCCGGTGCCCGGACGTCGAGTCCCTCCGCCGACTCCGCTAGGCTACCCAGCGCCAGGCCATCGGCTGACTGCAGCCTAGCTGTGGCGCCAGACAGGCCACCACCCTGGCAATGGTTTTGGATTGAAACCCGGCATAGCCATGTGAGCAACGCCGTACAGCTTCTCCTTGACCGATCATCTGCGCAGCTCTCCAGCTTCCACGAGCTCTCATCCCTTGGCCTCCGATGTACACGGCCGGCCGCCTTTGTCCGCAGAGGTGGCCGCCAGCAGACAGACGCCGGCCGAGCCTCCGCCGGTGTACACCAGCGACGTGGAGCCAGAGACGGCCGACCCCGGGCCGCCGCCGCGACCTGCCCCGCCCAACGAAGTCTGAAGCGTCGCGCTCTCCCCTGCCCCGCACACTACCCCAGCGACGGCACACCGAAGGGGAGCATTCCACCGAACGAAGCACCGCACCCTTCCCGTCCCCTCCCCCTCACCGATGACAGACCGGAGAGACTAGCCCGCCGAGCAAGGTCTGAAGCAGCGTGCGTTTCTCTGTCTGCCTTGACCCCCCACCTCAAGAATACTGTACGTGCATCAGTAACAAAGTCCCAAACATGTGGCTCTTCGGATCTCCGAGCTCCTCGTTTAACGTGCGCCGCCACGAACACAGAAAAATTGCATGCTCCTTCCCTCCTCCATGCCATTATTGTGCAAGCGTAGCGAAGGCGTGTCACCAGCAGAAACTCCATCCAGGCTAGATCTAAATCACGTCCTTCTGAGTCCCATTACTTCCCGAGTTAGCCTCCGCGGACACTCGCTATTTCAAACAAGGCCTGAAAGTCGGTCACCTCAGGTTTCCTTCTTTGAAGGCATCTCGCCGAAACATGTCTCACACGAGGTTTTCAGTCTGAACAAAACCTGAAGAGTAACGTGTGTGATCTGCGCCTGCCGACCCCTCCCAGCGCATTGGAACACGGACGCACGCACTGAACGGAAGAGGCTCCGAGAGCCGTTTGGAACCCCCTGTAGAGGGTGGTTTAATCAATGTCACGATGTCAATTTTTGACGCTGAGCGGTTGTCAAAAGGGCGAAATCGATAAACTGGTCAATAAATGGCTATAAACGTGATTGGATATTTATAGACGGGCATATTTCGGGCATGAATACGCTAGGTTTTGCAAAAATGCAAAACACATTTAGCATGATCATATAATTAGATCCCGTGCATGCCATGCGTACATTTTTGCTCTTTCTATTTCTCATTTTCTCACTTTCTCTCTCTCTCCCTCTCTTCTCTCTCTCCTGCACTGTTCATTACACACTCTTTTTGCTTATGGCACTACTTTCTATCTAAAAAATTGTCTTTCGACATAGATCAAATGAACTAAACAAACAAGTCGCTGAAGTCGCTCTCAGCTCACCATGCGTCTTGCATTTATCATCAAACACTGTCCGCAGGCAAAAACATTGAGGGGTATAACATCTGATGGATAAGTGCCCACAGCCACGCAGGTTAAAGCATGCAACTATTGTCATGCAATATCTCTGAAGCGTTAGAAGGTTTACGCCCCATCGTCAGGACTGGACATGCTTGAACGACATCTGGGAAGGGCAACTTCACATCTGGGGCGAGCAAAGTCACGAGTTGCGGCGAAAGCGCTATTTCAGAGCATTTTGGTGCACCTTATACATGAGCCAGCATCATGCGGTCGTGAAGTTGTGCGTGATTTAGAGCGCCCGCAAGACCCAACTATGTTTTTAGAAACGATGTTACATTGACTTCAGTAAACTTCAAGGCAAAAGTGCCTCGGCCGTTGATATCCAGTAAATTCATGCTGCAAACAGCGAGGAACTCGGAATCAATTGACTTTTGGTATTATCAAAACCAGCAAAGCCAAAACCATCACCCAATGAAATACTCCAGGAAGAAGTATACTGAACGAGCATTTGCAATGCTTTGGGTCAACCGCCGACTAATGTCCCCATCTCAGCCCCCAGCACGGGGTTTCCATTCAGCCACATCCCAAGTCGTGATAACTTCCTCGGCGATACGCTGGAACCGAAGACAATTCAGCTCGAGACTGTCTTGGAATTTGGCGCACCCTTCTGACCTCGCCATCTCCGTGGAATATGTCCAGTTGAAAACAGATAAGTACAAGGCGATACAATAGCACGGTCATAGGATGACCCCAGATTACTTCAACTTACTCAATGAAAGCAAAAAAGAATGATTTGTTTTGACTTTGACCGAGCAGTCTTTTCGTGTTAACATGTAATCGGTCTCGAGCTTTCTTTACTCCCCTGGTCGTAAACAGGGCTGGTGTCTTCTTGATGGGACCCGGTTTCTCTCTCGTTGATAAACGAGAAACGCGTTTAGGTTCTTCGCCCGATGTGCTGCGGCGTAGCGATGTGCTGCAGCATTCGAGATATGTCTTATACTGTCCAATCTCCGTGATTCTTCCCCGATGTGCTGCGGCGTAGTGATGTGCTGCAGCATTCGAGAAATGCCTTATACTGTTCAATCCTCGTGATTCTTCGCCCGATGTGCCGCAGCATAACAGTGATGTGCTATACTATCCCATCCCCGGCGAGATCCGCCTGATGTGCTACACCGTACCAGAGATGTGCAATACTATCCAAACCCTGGCGATCTTTCACCCGATGCTCTACAGCATACCAGAGATGTGCTATTTTATGCGATCCCAGCGACCCTGCTGGTCGCACTGGACGGTAGCCCAGTACTGGAGGCTGAGGCGCAAGCACTAGCACACGCACTAGATGCCCTTTGTGACGTTCGTACGCAGGATGTCCGGGATGGGGAACTAAAGCTTCAAAATTTTCCAGAATTCTGACAGTACCAAATCCAGATAGCACAATGGTTTTGAGGTCAAACTGGCATTTGACCGGATTATGGCTGTGGTAAGACAGACAATGCGTGTGCGCTAGCATGGACATAACCATGACTTGGATGTAACTGAGGCCCATTTCTGTTTTGGTGCCATTTTTATGGTAAAAACACGGAAATGACCGGATCTGCCCGGAGATAACAGGTATCCGAGCCCCACCGGCGCCATTTGTCGCTGTGCCCATGCACACCAGGCACATACAAATTGTTCAACTAAGATGTGGTAGCGTCATCAGCACAACTTGCCACCAAGCCAGCGTGCAATGCGTACTGTCCCCGAGTTCGAGCCCCGGCAGGGCCCAAACTTTGGGTTCTAGTCTCGGCATGTACGTAACGCTGTTTCGAGCATGCGGTGCTGGACAAGCAGCGCGGTGCTGAATCGTCTGCTGGAGAGTCTGCAGCTGGTCTTCATCACAAGCTAGGTCAGTGAGGCGTGCTATCACTTTGTCTGCTTTCTTCCCTCTCGTGGGGCGACTAGCTAGACGGAGGCGTGCAGTATTCCACGACTACGTGGAGGAGCCCCAAACATCTGACAACGCGCTTCTATTGCTTACCACAGTTACCCCCTTAACGCAAGGTCTTCCTGCAGGCGCTTTAGTTTGTTAAACCCTCACGATGCGTGTGTTTGTTGCTTTTCTCTTTGCACCTGTACTGGCTTACATCGCCACCAAGACGGTAAGAGTGTTATGTGGAGGACAATCTATCAAATGCAAGCCATCCTTGTTGCGACAACTTCGCAAGCTCGAATTCAGCTGTCCCTCCCGTTGTTTTGCCGGCGAGGGCAACCCCCTTGGGCTTCGCTCCCCTCCCCCAGATATGCCAGATCGCTGTGAATGAGAAGATGTGGCGCATTGCTATTATTGTGGTATTAGCGTGTGGCATATTGCTACAATTTGTTCTTACTGTGAATCGGCTGGCGCCTCGTGGTTTATCATATCCTTCAGCACACGCCATTCAAACATGTGTGAGCGTCACTCAGTCGCGACTCACAGCAGCAGCTGCACTAGCTCCGTACAGCAGCTCGCACCGTCTCACGGGCAGTGCTAGTTGCATCCACAAGGACGTCCGTCCCAGCACCTCACGGCTTACGCACGTGCAGCTGAGGAGAGCTCCGAAACACGGCCCTGCAAACCATTTGGTACGAGCTCAGCCTCGTGCCAGGCGGAGACAGACCAGCCTGTGGACCAGTCCTGCCTCGTCTCATGCGGAGACGGACCAACCTGTGGACTAGTCCTGCCTCGTCTCATGCGGAGACGGACCAACCTGTGGACTAGTCCTGCCTCGTCTCATGCGGAGACGGACCAACCTGTGGACTAGTCCTGCCTCGTCTCATGCGGAGACGGACCAACCTGTGGGCTAGCCCTGCCTCGTCTCAGGGGAAGACGGACCAGCCTGTGGGCTAGTCCCGCCTCATCTCAGGCGGAGACGGACCAGTCTGTGGGCTAGCTCTGCCTCGTCTCAGGGGAAGACGGACCAGCCTGTGGGCTAGCTCTGCCTCGTCTCAGGGGAAGACGGACCAGCCTGTGGGCTAGCCCCGCCTCATCTCAGGCGGAGACGGACCAGCCTGTAGGCTAGCCCTGCCTCGTCTCATGCGGAGACGGACCAACCTGTGGGCTAGCTCTGCCTCGTCTCAGGGGAAGACGGACCAGCCTGTGGGCTAGCCCCGCCTCATCTCAGGCGGAGACGGACCAGCCTGTAGGCTAGCCCTGCCTCGTCTCATGCGGAGACGGACCAACCTGTGGGCTAGCCCTGCCTCGTCTCATGCGGAGACGGACCAACCTGTGGACTAGTCCTGCCTCGTCTCATGCGGAGACGGACCAACCTGTGGACTAGTCCTGCCTCGTCTCATGCGGAGACGGACCAACCTGTGGACTAGTCCTGCCTCGTCTCATGCGTAGACGGACCAACCTGTGGACCAGTCCTGCCTAGTCTCATTTTGTACATACGTTCCCGAGCTCTACTGCCAAAATCTGCGCCTCTCTGAGTCACCAAAAGCCAAAAGCGAATCTAGTTAATTCCCACCGTCGAGCTGTTCTGGGTTCGGGCATCACAACGCACGCGCACCAACCCCCGTGCTGGCCGTCGCCGACGCCTCGGTGCTCGGCCCGCTCCCACACACACCACGTGGGTTCCCGGCCCCCGGCGGCAGGTCTCGCTCCGCAGACCACATCCACCCCGTGGCCTTGAAACAAGCTCAGCATCGCTGACGGCCCCAAGTCGTGATTGGTTGTCGAGGAAAGTTGGACCCCAGCCCAACCAATCAGATGCCTGCAACCGTCTTCCGTGTTCCACATTCTCTGCATTATCGTTCATACTCCGCCTACAGGCCGATAGCCTGTGGCATGAAACATTATTTCGGCTCTGCCGGTCAGTTGCCGCCCTGAGTCTGGCTGCGGTGGGGTAATGCAATGTTGAGCGATACACACCAGGCCACGCCGTCGCCATTCTGTAACGGCAGCTGCGTCGACGGCAGACATGACACTTGATGCCACTCAGCTAAACTACTGGAACTTCATACCATATATAGGATCTAAGCATCAAGTTTGCCAACAGAAACCAGCCCTGTACGAAGCAGCAACTCAAATCTTTATTTTGAGTAGCATAAAGCTGTAGCATTTTCTACAACTTTCAAATTATTTTCATAAATATGACCCAGCAAAAGAAAAACATTCCAGATTTAGAAGCCACTAAAAGTAGATACTAAGAATCCTTCACTTGAAACATGTTCCCGACAGAATGGTGGATTGTCACTTGAAGGGTGAGGAAGCGCCAATTGTCAAAAGTTGTGGGAAATCAAGCTAATGAATCTTGTTGACATGCCATGTGGTTGACAAACAATCCAGGCATGCCCTAGTGATATTTGGTGGTGATTTCTGGATTGAATTCGACGAATGAAGTGTTACAACGACCCCAAGGTTAAATGCGACGCAAATGGATCACGATGAATGGTAAGTTGTTTCTTCAACAGTTTTGGAGATTGCTTAGGTGTTTTATGGTACTGTTCTGTATGATTTCAGATCCATATATTTCATGGCTATGTTATGACGTACTGTTGGCTGGGGACAAGGATTTCGTGTTGTTTGGCTGTTTTGTTTAATGTTGCATTGTCCTTCACGGCTTTGGACAGAAGATAGTAAACATGTCATGCCCTCCTCCTGTATTATTGGCGATTGTACTGCTTCTTTTGTGATGTGCTCTTATGCCCTTTGAATCAGGACATGATGCATCAGACACCATTGTTGAGGTCTATAAGGCAGGTTATTGTTCTGAATGATGTCACATACCTTTGTTGCCCATTTTTGCTGGCTGTGTATTTTGATACCCAATGTCTTCTGGCTCCCTATGAGTCTGTGATATATGGTGTCTGGATAAATGTTTGGGATAGTGATTTGAATATGTTAAGCTCATTAAAGGTCATTGATGCATCAAATTGTATTGCTGGGTAATATACATGCACTATATCATCCTATTGCATGCAAGTTGTATGCTATACTTTATTATTGTATATGTGAATAGGGGATTTACAACATTAGGAACATTGATTTAAGCAGACCTGAAGCAAGAATGGAAAATATTCATGTAAATATAATTATATTTATGGTTTCCATTGCTTTGTATATGCTTCATCAAAAAGTTAGTTAAATACTTGACAAAGTGTCTGTCCAGCCACAAACATGCTTGCTTTGTGTTTGAAGGCCATGGTCACCATAGATACTTTTTGACTGTCAGCTGTCATTATATCATCCAAGCTGCTTTTGACATTCTGATGCTTAGGAAATACCATAACTTTGTAAGACAAGAGGTTTGTCACTTATATTGGCATCTGATCAGGTCATACTGTTAGAAATGAAATGATGGAACTCTGACTTGAAGTGATCTGTACATTACAGTCTGTCATTATTTATTATTTATGGTTACTTTTATGATACATTGATAGTTTGACTAAGCAGTGACATGCTCAATTATATTCTGGAGACCTCAGGCATATGATGTGACTAGGGTCTGAGATATTTTGCTCACAGCCATAACATATGAGAAGAATTGTTTGGCTTATGCTCAAACAATAAACAATTATTGAATGTCATCGGCATGCTTAATAAAGGTTGTGTTGCAAGTGTTGATGGATGAGTCCAAACATAAAAAGCCAAATCAAATTTACTCTGCTCTTGATGCATGCAAACAGGAGTGGTTTTCTCACCTGAAGCAGAGCCCTGTCTTAATTGATTATGAATTTTGTCATCTTTTAGCTGATTGTGATTCATTACCAAACATCAGTTCCATATGACTGAGCTGTACTAATGTAAACCATACCATCCACATCTAGGAAGAAGTGTGAATGTGTGGTCCTGATACAGCCTGGCTGTGTTTTGGTCACATAATGAATATGGTGAATATAGACCATAATTGTGAATACTGCAGCATCATTGTTAATGATAAGTCTCTCATTTCAGTGATCCAAGTGAGTTGGAGAGCTTTCTCCAGAGCTGCCTGGACAGTGTAAGTGATGAGAATGTAAGGAGTACAAAGTGCATGAAAGCCTGGTTGAAATTGAGAATGGAGATTACAATTCAATTAAATGCCTGTAAAGGGAGAATGCATGAGCATGGTGATTTCTGATGGCAACTTTGTCAACCAAGTCATGAACAACCAGTAGCATTCCATCATGCAATTAAGTGTGGGAGGGTTGGGTGTGCTGGTGGTTTTATGACCTTAAGCTCTGTATTGTGTGAAACATAGACTATGAAATGGAATTGTGTGTGCAGTGATGGTTCCATAGTTTTTCTATGCACATCCTCTGAGAGGGAATGGGCAATGTCATACAATGGTCCTCCAATGGCTATCAAATTTTGCATATTACTCCCACCTGTAACACTGCCATATTTTGTATCCTGGCTGAGAAGAAGGTTGGTATTTTAGGGGAGACCATTACCACTACCCAAAAGATTGAAGATAATTTTAGCCGAAGTGTAAATGCATTGTGTCCCCCGGCTGGAAAACCAAGGGAACATTTTTTGGATTGTTTTCCTAACTACTGAACACTGTAAATAGCCCATGAGTTTGGATTACCTCAGTGTGATCAGTTTGATAACCAACATAGTCAAGGCTTGCTATTGCTTGGTTGTTGAAATATAGTGTCCGCCCCCCCCCCCCCAACTTTGCTGTCTTACCATAGTTGCCATCCTCTGCTACCTTGCCCTGCGGCACTTGAAAAGCAAAGTAGGTAATTTAAATAGGAAAACTGGATTTCACAGAGACAAGAGGAAAACATAAGTTGTCTTCACCCTACTCAGCCTCCATACCAGCTCCCTCCCTCCCCCTCAGCATATTCAACAATGGTAAGTATAGAAAAGCTATTCCCTATGTGGCTTCTCTCTGTCAAATCAGCTGCTATTCAGCTTGCCTGTGTGTGCATGAACAAGCTGTCTGTAACCCTTGTGTGGGCTTGGGTTGCAGGCCAACGCGACTTTGCTGGACGTGGACGACCCACTGTCGGGTGGTGGCCTGTCGGTGGGCGCGTCGGCCAGCACGCCGCTGGCCGGCCTGGCCGCTCCGGCGCTCTCGCACGCCGCCGTGAGTCGGACGGCGCGGCCGGCCGGCGCGCCGTGCCCGGCCGCGCCGCCGCCGCCCGCGCCGCTGTCCGCCGCGCCGCCACCGGCTCGCATCGCGCGCGTCTCGCAGAACGGCCTGCCGCCACAGCAGCAGCAACAGCAACAGCAGCAACAGCAACAGCAACAGCAACAGCAACAACAACAACAACAGCAACAACAACAACAACAACAACAACAGCAGCAGCAACAGCATCAGCAACAGCAGCAGCAGCAGCATAGCCTTCTCTCGAAGCCGGCGCACGGCGGCGGCGGCGGGAGCGGTGGCGGTGGCGGTGGCGGTGGCGGGGGCGGTGGCGGTGGCAGTGGCGGGGGCGGCGGCGGCGGTGGCGGCGGCGTGAAGGCGGCCGCTAACGGAGCGCTGTCGGCGACGGGGCCGCTGATGGTGCCGTCGCCGGTGCACGCGGCCGCCTCGCCGTTCCAGGCGGCGGCGCGCGGCCCGCTCGGTCCGCAGCCGTCGCCGGTGCCGGCGGCCAGCCCGTTCTCGGCAGCGCGCTCGCCAGGCCAGTCGCCGGCGCCTCGGAGCAGCTCGTCGCCTGTCCCGCTGGGCCAGGCACGCGTGGTGCCCGGCCTGCCACAGACGGTCGTGCCCGGCCTGCCGCACGGCGTCATTCTCTCGCAGGCCGGCAGCATGCAGTCCGTCGTCGGTGAGTGGCCTGCACGCCGCCGGCTCTTCGTGCCGCATGTTCGTGCGGTGTGTCGCTCTTCTTAACGTAAAGAGCTGTGTTAATGTGTGCGTAACGTGTTCTTAACGGGATGGTTTTGTTATGCTTTTATGCTTGTGTTATTGGAAAATGAAGCGTTGACGTAGCTCATCAGTTAGCACCCATCGTATGGTTTCGTGAATGCTGCCTGCGAACATCGCTCCCGCAGTGTTGTATCCGGTAAGGTCCTTACATTCCCCGTCACTTTGGCAGGTTCGAATCTGATCGCAGGCGGCACGATCATGCCGGCCAACGGTCTGCAGGTGATGGGCGCGGCCCAGAACGGCGCCGTGATGCAGCTGGTGCAGGGCGGCGGCGGAGGCGGCACCGCCGGCGGCGGCCCGGCGGCACCCGCCGCTGGCCGCGCCGTCAAGGCCGCCAAACAGCCGCAGCTGCTTCCCAAGACGCTGGCGCCCAGCCTGCCACTGGCCAAGCAGACGCTGGCCGCCCAGCCGCCGATGCTGCTGTCGTCGGGTCAGCTGGGCAGCGGCGCCGGCGGCGCCATGGTGCTCACGCCGGTCATGATCCAGCAGCCGGGCGGCGGCACGCAGATCCAGTACATCGTGCGCGAACATCCCAACCTGCTGTTCCCGGCCGCGTCGGCGGCCACCGGCGCCAAGCACGCGCAACAGGCGGCCGTGCTGCTGCCGACGGCCGGCGGCGGCCAGACTGTGCTTCTGCAGCACCCCAACCAGCTGCTGCAGCAGGCCAGCCCACTGCTGCAGCCCACCATACGGCTGCTGGCGCAGCCCCAGATCCAGCAGATCCAGACGCCGAGCGGGCCGGCGCTGTTCGCGCTGGCGCCGCAGCAGCCCACTGTGCTGACGCACGGCCAGCAGATGCTACCGCAACAACTGCTGACTGCTCAGCACGAGCTGCAGAAGCATAGCCAGCAGCCAGGGGCGGCAGCGGCAGGCGCCGCCGCCGCTGCTGCCGCCGCCGCCGCCGCCGCGGCTGCGGCCGCCGCCGCCAGGAAGGCGGGCAAGAAGAAACGCCGCGACGAGCCGCCAGCCGGCCAGCCACAGAAGAAGGCGTTCGTCGACCTTGAGGACATCATGAAGAAGAGCGGCATCTTCGGCGACATGGACGACGAGCCGGGCCTGCACACGGAGCCGGCCGACGAGCCGGCGCCGGTGAAGGCCGAGGCGGCGCCCGACGGCCTCTCCTTCCTGCAGTCGTTGCCGGTGAGTGGCCGGACGCGGTCGAGCGACGCGCGCCTGCCCGCCTCGCCATGAGCGGAGTCAGCCTGTTCGCTCTCTGTGTCGTGTCGTCCGTCCGATTGGCTGACGCTGCCCGGATGTGCGCCTAACTCCCGCTTTGCCCTGAGTTGCTGCCATGGCAGTTCGGTTGTGGACGGCCGTGTGTCTGTGTGTTGAAGGGGGCGGACTCTAGTGACCCGGCGCTGGACGCGTCGGCCCGCCTGGCCGCTGCGCCGGCTCTAAATCACAGTACAAACGTCGACGGGCATGGCGTCAGCTCCACGACAGGCCAGGTCAGCTCCTCCTGCTCCCCCGCCCCGGCCGCTGGAAGGCCTCCTGGGACCAGTGGTACTGAGGGAGGTGCCATATGACACCGCGCTTAAAAGCCCGCTCGCTGTTTGGGGTTTCGTCGCCTTTGCGATTACGCGCATCTCGTTCGTTGTTATGTTTTGTAGTTTTGCATCAGTCTCTATGTGCATCCCATTTAGTGCTTGCTTAACCATTGCATATACATGTCGTATGTTCCATTCAGCTTTTGTCCGACATTCTGAATTGTGGGCGTGAGGTGCATCGCCGAGGATCCGATGGCGTGTATTTCCTTTAACGGCAGCAGAATCGGACCTGTGTACCGCTCCCTGTTGCCAAAGTCGCTGTATCCCGGCTCGGTTCGGTGTTGACGGCGCTGGCGTGCGGCGCCGGCGCGACCGGCTCGCCGTGACCGGCCGTCGTCCCCGTGGTGACGCTGCGTGCACTGCCGGCGCGGCAGGTGTTCGTGAACGGCGCGACGTTCGTCTCGTCGCCGCAGCTGGCGCCCGTCTCGCTGATCTCGGCGTCGGCCGCCCAGCCGGTGCTCTCGTACGCGGCGGGCCCCGGTCGGCCGCTGCTCTCTGCCACCGGCCAGCCCGTCAACGGCGCGTCGGTAGTGCTCTCGCAGGCCGGCCTGCTGCAGGCGCTGCCGCGCGCCGCGCCGCCGCCGGCGCCCCTGCTGGTCAGCTCAGCCGGCGCGCCGCAGCCGCAGACCAGCAGCGTGCTGGGCAGCCTGCTGAGCCAGCCCAGCCGGCTGGCGCGGCCGACGCTGCCGCAGGCCGTCAGTGCGCCGCCGACGTTGGCGGCGCCAGCCGGCGGCCTGCTGGCGGGCGGCATCAGCTTCAGCGTGCCGCAATCGGTGCAGGCGCTGAACGCGGGCCTGCAGCCGGCGGCGGCCGGCGGCCTGGTGCTGCGGCCGGCGGTGTCGGTGGCCACCGCTGCGCCCGTCGCCGGCGCCTCCTTTCAGAACGCTTTCCTTGAGAACCTCATCAAAAATCAGCTGTGCGCGCGGAACAACAACAAGAAAAAGAAGAAGGACACGCTGACCAAAGTGAGCAGTGCGCGCGTGCCGGTGGCAGCACCGGCGGCGCCGGCGCCGCCGCCCCGGACGGCGGCCGGCGAGGTGGCGCGTATCGGACCTGGCCCGCCGGCGCCACGGGTCGCCGACAACAGTGTGACGAGCACCACGCAGCTGGAGCCGGCGCCGGCGCCGGTGCCGGTGCGACCCTCATCCTCCCTACCCCCGACGTCTTTCACGGCTGCCGCGGAGCCGGCGGCCGACCCCGCCGCGGTGGCGCGGCCCCTCGTGCCTTCCGGCTTGCGCGCAATCGCGCCGGCGCCGGCGGGCGGCGCGGGCACGACTACCGGCGCACGGCCGCCGGCCACCTCCTCCTCCGCCGCCGCGGCCTTCACCGTGCCTGCCGGCCACAAGGTGCAAACGATCCAGCTGTCCACGGAGAACCAGCAGGTGAGCGAGCGTCCGACTGCGGTTGGTCAGTGTCGCTCGCCGCGCCAAACTAGGCTGGTGATGACGGTTGCAGAAAACGTGTTGGCCCCCTGGTGTTTGCGTGCGGCTGGGCTGTGTGGACAGGGTGTCGGTAGTGTAGTGGTTAACGCGTTTGCGTTAACCACTGCGCGTCTGGGAGACCAGAGGTACGGGGTTCGATTTCCCGCGGCGCCCGCCCTTCCTGCCAGGGTGGGAGGCAGGTGACGCCATATAGCCTTAGCAGCTGAGTGCGTTGTAAAGCCCCAATGACACACGGCTGTGTGGACGCAGTGGTGTGGTACTATCGGGGCGCGACGGGTGCTGGTAGCTGTCCGCTGGCTGAAGCGTGCTGGGTGATTGGACGGATCATTATCTGTCGGACGCTGTGACAGCAGTCAAGCCTTCCCACGGTTGATGTGTTTCGAGTTGCATGGGCCGGTAGTCGGCGCGAGACACGTCCTTGGCGACCTAGCTGTGCGATCATAGCTGACTGTGGTGGCGCCGCGCTACATCATCACAGCTAACTGTGATGGCGTAGCGCTACGCCATCACAGCTGACTGAGGCGGCGTAGCTCGGCGCCAGCGTGACTCGCTCCGGCACGATGCGGCCGCCTGACGCGCCGACCGCCGCTGCTCGGCAGGAGCTGAACCGGGTCCAGTTGCGCATGCAGTTGCTGATGCGGGCGGAGCGCTCGCAGCGGGACGCCGACGAATTGAAGCGGCTGGAGACGGCTCGCCAGAAGATCCTGGCCACCGGCCAGCAGGTCGCCCTGCCGGTGAGCAGCCAGCGCCGCCGCCCCGATCCCCGGCTTGCGGGGGCGCCCGCCGCCGTCAGCCACCGCGCTGGTGTTGGCGCTGACTCGGTGGGCGGAATCGGGGTTTGCTTCTCGTGCGCGCACAGCTGTGATCACGCGGCGTCTTCACGCCAATCCGACACCCACTGATGGTGCCGGGCAGGTCTGAGGTTGCGTTGCCGGCGGTGGAGGTTGCGGCTTTGTTGTCGGTCGGCGATTGGCTGCTGCCGGACGTGCATGGGTGGGATGGGCAGGGCGGGCTAGGGCTTGCGGTTGTTTAGAAATGCTTCCTGTTGCGCGAACATCCGCGAACTGCACGGACACTGGATTAGCGGTCAGCCCCGGCGGCAGCAGTGTAATCTAATAATTTGGTGCGCTCGTCCACGAATGATCCACGAATCATCCAGCCGCGAACAGCGGCCTTGATCTGGCGCTGGCCCGTCGCCTCGGCCCCGTACCGTGGCATGCGCACGGGAGCCGGTGTTCGCCGCGCCTTGATGGCTGTGTTCCGTGTCCAGGTACGGTGGTCCATCCCCTCGTCGACGGGCGCGGCGGCGGTGGTGCTCTCCGCATCCTCCACGCTCGCCACACCGCAGGCCGGACAGCAGCAGCAGCAGCAGCAGCAGCAGCAGCAGCAGCAGCAGCAGCAGCCGCAGCCGCAGCCGCAGCCGCAGCCGCAGCCGCAGCCGCAGCCACAGCTGCAGCTGCAGCCGCAGCAGCAGCAGCAGCACCCGCCGTCGGCCCAGCAGCAGCAGCCGCAGGCACAGCCAAAACAGCAGCAACAGCAGCAACAGCAGCTAACTCAGGCGTCCACTCGGGGACTGAAGCGGCCCCAGGAGCCGAGTTCAGAGAAGGCGGAAAGGTGAGCGTTGCCGTGTCCTCACCGCGGTCCCTCGCAGCAGGCCTGTCGTTTTACGAGTTATTGTGCATGAATTGCCCTTCGAAAGCGCATTTGATTGACTTGCGCTCGTCTTGTGACCTTCAAGACAGCTGACAGTCGCGGCAACGCACTAGTTGTCCACGCGCCAGCTGGAGCAGCCGACTGACCACAGCCTGCCCTGTGTCGGCGCGTGCACAGGTTCCTGAAGCAGCTGGCGTGCGACCAGCACGACGCGCTCCAGCCGGACACGGTGACGCCGTTCCGGAGCGCCGCCGACGTCGTCAAGCGGCTCTCGAAGTACCACGTGCTGCAGGAGGCGCCGACCGGCGACGACGAGTCGCGCTTCGACGACGACCTGTTCCGTGCGCGCGCCGAGTACATCCAGAACAAGCGCAACAACATGTACAACAAGTACCGGCGGCTGCTGCTCAAGGACAGCATGGTGAGGCGCGGCGCCGCGCGGCCGGCCCCAGCTCGAGTAACGGCTGCCCCCAGGTGGCGGCGGCGCGGTGGACATTGCGTAACGCACCAAGTATGTACTTTGAGTTGTGTTGCCGTGCGGCCGGTGGCGGTCGTCGAAATGTTGCCGTTTCATGTGAATGCTTTGGAAGGTGACGTCTTTGTGGAGTCGTCCCATGTTCACGTGAGGGCCGTGTATATGTTGAAAAGGCGTCCTCTTACCGGTTGAGTGGATGACAAGTGCGTGTGCACGGATGTACGTGAGCCGCATGCCACGCCTTCACTTCCGTTTTACGACGGCTGGCGGTTTGGCTGCCCCTAACCTGACCTGACCGGACATCGCCTTCGCAGCGGCTGCACCCTTCCTCGGAGAGCGTCCAGCTGCTGCGCTACCTGAACCAACACGACCGGGAGCAGCTGGACACGGAGCGGCGCGCCGCCAGCCAGGGTCAGTAGCGGCGCGCGCGGCGCGTGCGCCGTAGCCCGGCCGGCGCCGCCGCACCCGGCGGCCGGGGTGCTCAGCTGGCAGTGGCGTCAGGGCACCGGCCCATTGATTCGTGTCGCGGCGGTGGCAATGAGCACGACGTGGCAGCCACGTTGGGATATGTCCAGTGTGGCCTCAGCGCGGCGGCGGCGGTCAACACGGGTTTGAAGGGAACACAGGCCATGCAACGAGCGACCCCGGTCGTCGACACGCCCTAAATCCCCGACCAGGATCACCAAACTGGTTTAGTAATGGCCTGGTATTTCAATAGCGTAGTTCACAGCGCACGCGGCCTTGTGATGGCTACTGTTGTCCGCGCGCGTGACTCGAGATCGTTCTGTTTCGCAGTGATCGGTGGTTGGTTGCGTGGGCCGGACAGCGGGTCGGCGGCCCTGACGCGGTAACCTCGGTGTTACAGGCGCGGCCGACCGAACGGCGCGGGGGCCGGACACGGCCAGCCCGGCGGCGACGACAGCGGCGGGCGATCGGCCGGCCTCGGAGCCGGAGCTGGCGCCGGCGCCGGCGCCGGCGCCAGCGCTGCTCCGGCCCGATCCGACGCTGCGCGACGTGCGGTTACCGGCACCACCGGCGCCGCCACCGCCACCTCCTCCGCCGCCTCCGCCGCCGATGCCGCCGCCGCCGCCCGCCGTCACCGCGGTCACCACCACCACAGCCGCCGCCGCCGCCGGGCCCGCCGCGTTCTCGGACTGGGATCACCTGTTCGATGAGCCGGTGGTGAACGGGCACGCGGCGTCGGACGCGCCGCGGCTGCGGCTCGAGGACGACCTCAACGAGCAGGTGCAGAGCGCCATCAAGAGCATCCTGAACCTGCCGCGCCAGGAGCCGGACGGCGGCAGCGGCGGTGGCGGCGGTGTCCCGCTTGCCTCGCCAACTTCGCCGCCGGCGCCCAGCCGCTTCAACATCAACGCGTCATTCTTCAACGCCGACGACTCGGCCGAGGACAGCGAGGCGCTGGACGAAGCCGTGCGCAGCATCCTCTTGTAGCTAGTTGCGTGTGCAGGACGCCCGAGCCGCCCACCCCCCTTTCACTCACTGGCGCGGCGTCCTCTCATGGTTGTTGCCATATGTAAGCTGTGATGGATCGTACAGTTCAAACTACTGTGTGATATTAGATGGTAGTTATGTCTGTAGGGTATGTTTTGCATTAAATTTTGTACCCTTTCTCAGACATTTGCTGCGTTGCGATCTCAAAAGGATGTAACCTCATCTTGCACAATATTTGCGACTAGGCGAACGGTTCACCAACATTTTCTATTGGTTTTGCCTATGACTGGACAAGAGCGCAACGGCAAGATCCAGTTTTTATGTTCTTTTCTGGTTCATGCAGACTAAGTATTATCACGTGGATGATATGTTCGTGTATGGGCATGTTTTGCCTTCTTTCATCAATCATGTCATAAATGCATCCGTGGCAATATGGCGGCCCAGTGCTGGCTCCTCTCCATCGCCATGTATTTTTAATGGCATTAATAAATCATGTGAAGCGCGTAGAGAACGGTGCGTTGTCATCTCTTCTGCGGGGTGACACGATCAGAATGACTGCGGGGCGCGTTGAGGGAACCAGCACAGGTGTTGAATCAGTGCCGCTGCTGTAGGCAGTTTTACTCTACTGCCCCGCCTCGCACCTGCTCATTCAGTGAGCAGCAATAGGTGCGGTGCGGTATCTTATCTGAATAGGTGCGGTGCGACACATACCGTTGGCGTGCTATTTTCCAAAACAGCGACAGTCGACTGGAAGGGTCGAGGTGGTCGGCATTCGCCATACCGAGGCAACTAGAATACCCAACACATTGGCATACACTGGGCATGGTCGGTGCTGTCTTTCCAGCTTCCGCAATGCACCTGGAAGGTTCGCCAAGAAGAAGCTGTCATATGGTGACCATCCCTGGAGGTCCGCAATGACGAGTCCTGTGCGCGATGCTGCTGGGCAGCAATGACATAGCGGTAGATCTAACGGCAGCGTGTCACGTGGATAAAAAAAAAAACATGGTGTGGGTTGCGTTGTAGAGCTTGTGAGGCATCAAACCAAAAATGAACGAGTAGGTAAATAGTTTCGTTTGGTTCCAAATTTAAGGTATAGTTACACTAAATTACGTATACAGTCCAGTCATCGCACTTTTCTAGGATTGTGAAAATTACGAGCAGCACCCGCGCACGCGCGAGCATGTTTTAGACAAACATGCTAATTTGTTCGCTCATCGAATTTTCCCATGCACCGATTTATGTTATGGCAAGGGCCAAACGCCGAAGCTGAAGAAGCCGACCTTGACGATCTGCAAAACCTGAACGCCAGACCTCCGATAGTCCACGTTCTCGTACGCGATGAAGCTAACGACGGCAGACGTCATATGCCCAAGACGATCTTCACGGCACCGAACATGGAACTGTCTGACAACGACCCACGCCAAGTGCTACAGAATCTACGGCGTAACATGCAAGCGGCCGCCGAACAGAACCGACTACGGCAGTTGCAAGTGGCAGAGGATCAAGCACATAGGCGAGCAATCATGACATACACGGGAATTGGCCTGTCGCTACTCATTCTGGTGTTGTTGTACATTCTTGATCCATTTGTCGTGCTGCAGGACATTCAGAGTCTTTTCATATACATTGGACAAGTACTGCTGAATAACGAATCTCTTCCCTTCTTTTACTGATGCCATCGCTCGTCAGTGTTTTGAAGAACGCGCCGACATGAACTTGCCGTACCACAAACAAACATTCGTATTTAAAATGTATTTGTTATCCCAAAGCCACGTCGTCTGCTCCCGGAATAAAAGCCCCTAAACGTGATGGCGGAACATCAGAATAGATAGCGTCTAGGGAAAGACTGGAAATATTAATTTGGCTCACGGTATGGGTCTCAGGAACAACGGCAAGCACGGTCCAATCACATCAGACGTTCCAACCTCTGACGATATCATTCACGAGAGCTCGCTCTATTTTCCACCAGTTCAAAGTTCGCAACATCAACTCCATCAATCATGGCTACGGCCCTCCAAGGTCTCGCCACCTTCAATATCCATCCCGTCGGACGAGCCGAAAGGGACGGGACAACACAAACCACCGGCGTCAAATGCGACGCAGGTCGGCTAGCAGTGCAACACCCACGGGCCCGTGCTACAGCGGCGCGCCGGCCGACCTCGCCGGCCTCCCGGCGCGCCAGACGGGAGCGGACAGAGGCGGGAAGGCGGCGGGCTCCTGCCGCCGCGGCGGCAGCCAGCGATGGAAGAAATTTACAGACGGTCACAAGCAGGAATCTCAGTCATTATCACAACCTAACACGATGACGGGGCTATTATTGTAATAAGATGCGTGGCGGCGGCGCGGCACGGTGCGGCGCGGCGCGGCGCGCCGGGCCGGGCCGCTCGCAGTCTCATGGTCACGCACGAACGCACGCGGCACCACCACACCGCCAGCGCCCATCGGCAAGACTAGATGTGTTGAAGCCATCAAGATTATAATGCAATTACTGCCGTAAAACAAAACAACGACAAACTGGTACTAACAAAATTATTAAAAATACAATTTTCTACAGCGATGGCAGTACTCAATCTGGGCAAATAGGCGAACCTCAGCATGTCAACTGAGGAGCAAGGTACAAAAATAAGCATTGTTCTTTGACGAATTTGTTTGCCGGGTACTGGGAGACAGCATCCAACAAAAGAGCGGGCGCGGGACCGAGGGGGAACGGCCCCCACAAGGGCGCGTCACGCCGGACGGGCAGGAGGCTATGGAGAATCGCGGCCAGGCGGGGCGAAACCTCGACGGCGACAGACAGGCACTACAGAAACAGCGTGATACAAGAAGACAAGAAGGATTGAGTGGGGAGGGAGTGCAGCGATGTGGGAGTGCGGAGAGAGCGGAGGCCGGGCGAGCGAGAGCGGCCGACGACCGGGTTGACCACGAGCTCCCCCGCGTCATCAGCGGCCGGTCACACACCTACGATCCACTTCCAGTGCACCTCCGTCGGGGGCCCAGTTAGTACAGTGTTCACCGTCTCAAATCATAATACACGTCCTAACCATGTGACAAACTAATATTCATATATTTATATGTATCTACACCAGCAAGTGAGGGGTGGCGGCCGGCGCCCGCGTCGCCGGCCGGCCGGCGCAATGGTGGCGCCGTCTACAATAAATAGTCCGCGCCCGTGGCGCCGCCTACATGGCCGACTGCGGCCGGTGTCCGTGCACGTGGCGCGGCGGGTACTGGGGCGGCGCGCCGGAGCCGCTGGCCGGCCGGCCGCGCGCCAGGCTCAGTTGGGAGCCGCCCGCCTGCGCCGGCGCAGACTCGTCGGCCCCGTCCTCCACCTGAAGCGCCGAGAAGCCCAGCCGCAGCGACTCCTCGTCGAACTGCTCCAGGTGGAGCTGGTGGCGCTCCTGCAGCAGCCGGATCCGTTCGGCGCGCTCCTGCTGGAACTGTTGGCGCTCCTCCACCATCTGCCGGCGCGGACCCGGTCAGGAGCCCGGCACAGACGGCATCACCGCTGACAGACGCCGCTTACCCAGATAGAAAATGGTTTACATGGTGCGGAGCGATAGCCCGTCGTTGTGCTCTCAGACTAGTATCGCGACGGGAGGCGATGCGATCGACGAGGCAGTGCTATGCAAGCGTAATGGCAGGCTTAGAGCGCGAGGAATCCGTGAACCGGGTGAAATTGGCTAGTGATAATTGGCTACTGATAAATCAAGCACCGCATACACATTGAGTCATTTGACCATGCGTTATTCCCGCAGGCACATACCAGCGCATATTACTCCCGTATCAGAATAATTTACTGGAAGCATTTCGCTATTTCACTGTCCATGGAGTTTGTTTCTGTCCCTCTGTCTGGTTGTTTCTGTCTGCCAATCTGTCCATTGGCTTCGGTTACCAGGAAAACAGAACAGGTTCAGGACACTGCCATTACCACCAGCTGCCTACAGTGACTGGAGCCCGTCACTCCACCCGGCCTACACTGTCATCACGCATGGAGCCTGTCTCTCTACCTGCCCCTCACCGCCATACCAGCTATCAGCCACGGCGTCGGACAACCACCGGGCGCTGCCGCCGCGTCTCTGCCGAGACCGCCACGGCCCTGCCTGTGCCGCCCGGCCGTCCGCTCGTGCGCGTGCCGCCCACCCACCTTCTGCTCGAGCAGCGCGCGCCGCACGCTGACGCGCTCCTCGAGCTCGCGGCGTTCCTTGTTGCGCTGGCGCTCGGCGTTCAGCTTGTTCTTGCTCTGGTAGGCCATCAGGATCTCGAGCTCGTGGTCGAGCCGCTCCTTGAGCTGCTGCTGCTCGATCTCCTGAGACTCGTCCAGCCGGATCTGCGCGGCGGCGGCGGCCAGGGCCGGCGGGCCGTTAGACCGGGCCAGCGCCGCCGCACAAGCCGAGCGGCATTTGGTCTGCGCTCACGGCGGCGACACGCAGCGTCCAAACAGCACGCGCGCAGCGTCAGAACCTGGCCACTCGTGCCGACTGCACTCACAGGAGACGCGCCAGTCACAGGCAGCTTACACGGCAAGGCAAATACATGGAAAAACCGCTGGGAACTCTCCCCATGCACTACCGACGGCATCTGGCCACCAGCTTTGCTCATGACATTGGCCAGTGCCAGACTGTCACCGTCACCACGCTACAGGCACCGGTTCCTGCTCTGCCCGGCGTTCCCAGTCGAGGTAACCAGCCACCATCACTGGTCGGTCGCCCCCCACCCCTACCTGACTCACCGACTGCTTCTGGAGCATCTCGGCGATGCTATGCTCGTACTGTTCGCCGAGCAGCGCCAGCTTGCGCTTCTGTTCCTCCTTGAGCCGCTTCAGCAGCGCCTTCTGCTCATCCTTGGGCGTCGACTGCTGGATCTGCTGCTTCAGCGCCTTGAACTGGCGGGTCTGGATCTTGCACGTCTCGCGGTACTGTTTGCGAATCTGCACCTCCTTTTGCTGCAAGGCGCGGAGGGGGCAGTCACAGCGAGCCTGGAGCCGTCCGAGTTCACTTGTCCAAGCTACACATCTCAACATAGCTGCCGACGTGGCAAGAAACAAACAAAACGCCACACTGGGTAAGCCCAAGTCCCATCCGAAAAGCCAGCATTTCTGCCAGTATCCCCGTACCTTTAGGCTCTTGGGCTGCTGCTTGAGCTCCATGGCGTGCTTTTTCCGGAGCTCACGCTGCGCGCGCCGCATGTACTCGTGCTGGTTGTTGAGCTCGGTGGTGTGCATCGAGCGCACGTGCTCCTCGCGCATCGAGTGCACCGCCTTCTGCTGACGGTACTCCAGCTCCTGCGTCTGGTCGTGGTGGCGCAGCAGCATGGCGTGCGCCATCTCCAGCTGCTGCTGCCGCTTGTTCAGCTCCTGGCGGCCAGGCTGGGCGTCAGAGGACGGCGTGGGCGGGCGGCGCGCGCGCGGCCACTCACGGTGTCCACGCTCGGCGAGCGGGTCGGTTCCTGTGGAGCGTGCGAGCACGGCGCCCGGCGCATCCCGGGCCACCGACGGACGCATTGTTACACCGCGTGGGGGCCGGTCACTCAGAGCACTATCGCACGCAGCCACCGCACACAGGTGCTGGACATCCGGCGGACACGGGGCGCCGTCTGCCGTCGTATGCTCCGAGCCGTCGCCTCGCTGATCAGTCATCTATTCGGAGCCGAAGCGAGAGTAAACACCGAACGCCGCCAGAGCCGAGGGTAATCCACCAGCAACCCATCAACACTGACACCACACCTGCGTGGCGGGCCCAGCAGTCCCGCCCCCACCCGCACCCCTCTCCAAGCGGGGCTCCCACCGCCACCCGCCCAACTCGCAGCCCTCGAGCCCACAGCTCACCTCTCGCAGCAGGTCCTGCTCCAGGTGGTGCAGGCCCACCAGCTTCCGGCGCCGGAACTTGCGGATCTCCAGTTCCAGGTAGTCCTTGTGGGTGCGCTTCATGCGCTGGTCCTCCGACGACTCGTGCTGCCGGATGCTCTCCTTATGGTTCCTGTGACGGGAGACGGACGCCGGTGACGTTGGGCACAGTGCGGGCTCCGCGGCAGCGAAAGCCTGCTCTGGCAGCCTCTGTGAGCCATCAGCCGGAGAGGCCATGCTCATATCAACACGAGAAGTCCCCAAGAGATGGTTCAACAGATGATGCCGCCGACACGGAAAGACGACTCTCACCCAAAGGTTTGCAAGCCGGCCAGCTGTCATGACCAGCTGAAGTAATCACACACTACCCTCGCAAAACTACAAGCGCCAGAGAGCGTTGCTCAACGAGCTAGCTTTGGCCGCAACAGAGCGGCGGCCTGTGGTCTGCTGAAGCCGCGACGCTGCACCCCACGCCACCGTGTCCGGTCCCGGTCTGCTCACTGGAGCATGGCGTCGCGCTGCTTCTTGGGCGTGCTCTCGTCAGTGCTGAGCTCTCGCTTCCAGCGCTCCATGTTCTGCTTGTTCTCCTTCTTGGCCTGCTGCAGGTACAGCTTATGCTCGGCCGTGTGGCGCGTGGTGATCTCCTTCTGCAGCGCCCGCTCGGCGGCCATGTCCGTCTTCACCTGGCCGGCGCGGGCGAGCGTCAGGGCGAGTACGCCGGCGCAGAGAGCCTGGCTCGCGCCAACGGCCGCTCCGACACACCGCTGACGAACCACGCTCCGTTCATAAATGTCAAAGCACACGAGCGTTCTCACACCTTGCACACCGACGGGGAGCACACCATCGCCAGGCTACCGACCAGCGCCAGAAGAACCACCCGTCGGTCGGCAGCGCGCCCGGCACACATGGCAACCCCCAGCCAGCGGCTGCCGCCACGTGGGCGAGTGGCGCGCCATCGTCCGCCGCCCGCGTCACAGGAACCGGCCGCCACCGCCGGCCGACGCCGTCACAGGAGCCAGCCGCACCGACCGACGCCGTCGCCCGCTCTACCTACAGGCCCACACCATCGAGCCGCCACCAGCGCACAAGCGGCGGCGGCGGCGGCGGCTCGATGGTGAGCGGCGCCACCGAGGCCTACCTTCTTTTCCACCTCCTGGCTGTGTTTAACCTGCAGCCTCTCCAGCTCCTTGGTGAACTGGGTGATGAGATTCTCGTACTCCTTGTCCAGCACGGCCTTGTGGTTCTCCATCTCGACGCGACATTTCTCCTCCAGCTGCGAGAGGCGGCGAGGTTCAGGATCAGGGAGGCGGAACTGCCACCACCGTCCCGCTCTGGCGGTCGGCCTCAACTGGGAACGTGCTCTCTTTTTGACTCAATTGAGATCAAATGACATGATGTAACTGGCTGGATGGTGGCAGTGGCAAGGCATCACGGCCACGCAGATTACGGAGGAATGTCCGCACAATGGACACCACAAACATCACCAGGACTTCATCCCTGCACGAATCACCTTTCTTTTTTCGAGAAGCCTAACAGCCTTCCAACATAATCCCCCGCCTCAGCAGCTACCATAAACCATGTTTCAGTGGTCAGTGGCCTCAAAAGCCACTTTCTCACGATCTGGACGGCGCACTGTCCTGTTTACTCCGCCAAAGAAGCGTGGCCGCCACAAACCGCTGAGGCCGGCCGGCCGGCGGCGCTGACCTTGATGAGCGCCGCCTGGTGCTCGCGGCGCATGCGCTTGTAGCCGGACATTTGTTCGTGCATCTCCTCCTGCATGTGCTCCTTCTGCTGGCGCGTGATCAGGGTGGTGGTCCGAATCGTCGCGAAGTTGTTACTGTTGGCTTCCGTCTGAAAGCACGGCAGCGCACGGCGTCAGCGCATCTGCCCCGCCACAGCGACTGAGCACAGCAGCGACTCGTACCTGACCCACGTCCGCTCGTCTGGCCACCAGCAGAACAGCGCTAACAACCGCCGCCGTAGGATGGGCAGTACGACGCCCGGGCACATCCTAGCCGGACGGTTTAAGCGCGTGACGGCAGCGGACACACCCGAACCACAGCCGGCGGCCAGCGTCGTCCTGCGAGCCAGCTCCGGGTGGTGGCACGCTCATTTGTCAGCGTCGGGAGTCTTCGGATGTGACGCGGCCTACGAACAAAGGGTCTCGAGCGCGCCCGCGCCCTTTCCCGGCGGGCCTATGGCGGGCGGCGGGGTCACCTTCGGTTTCCTGCTGGCAGTGAGGAAGCCCTGGGCGCCATCGCTGGGCGGTATGCTGCTGGTGGAGCTGCTCTGGCTGCTGGCCGAGATGGCCGCCGACTGCTCCGATGTGATGCTGTTGCTCTTGCTGCCGTCGCCCACGAAGTCGCCGTTGTCACCCACAGAGTCCACTGCAAACGGGGCCGATCGTCACAGCCGCCGCTAGGGGGCGCTGCCGGCGGCGCGCGCTGACAGGAGCGGCGCGCCCAGCCAGTGCTGGCGCGTCATACACACGACAGTTGCGGCATAGCCCAAGACGCCGCGCTCTCCGTGGAGGGGTTCAGCGTTTTGGCACGCCGCAAACCCCGCCAAAACATTATCTCTCCCGGACCACGCGGCGCAGCGAAAATCCCCCACGACTCGCCATCTCAAACACCGTCACCTGGTGCGACACCCCGCCGCGGCCAGCTCCTGCGACGGCGCCACCTCACCCTCGAGATCGCCGACCGTGCTCTCCGTCTCCGTCTCCACCATGAGAATCTTCTTCATCTTCTTGTAGTTGAGGTTGTCCAGCTCGCGCACCGCCGCCTTGGTGCGCGCGATCAGATCCAGGATGATGTTCGGCGAGCGCGGCCGTACGATGAAGTGGTGCTGCGAGGGCACGGGGGCCGGTCACGCCACGTCCCCGAGGACGCCACGGACGGAGACATCAGAGACGGCTCGTGGTAGTGTTTTAGAGGTGGGCTACGCTACAACCTGAGATAATTGTGCAATCCGCACACGCAAAGGTTAAGTTCGACGCTCTTTCTACTAAAAACCATGTTCTTCGCAGTCACGTGAGGTTCACGCAGGTTGCTTTTTTACGATGGGAACTTCAAAGCATGTTATGCATTTTTCTGATGCATGTGATGACTGTGCAGCTATAATTAAACCCTGGCATCCTTACAATTACAACCACACGGGCCTTTAATGCGCAGTACAGACACCGTTCACCAGCCCCTGCGAAGATATGGCCGCCACAGCGACGTTCGCCGTCGCATACAGCATCCCCCCTTATGAACGAGCCACCCGCCGGCTGGCCATGGAGCGGGGGCGGGGGGGAGGGGGGCTGGAGAGAGTGGGCAGACGGCAGAGCACACGCGCGCGCGTACCGAGAGCAGCCGGCTGGCGGTGGGCCGGTCGGCCGGGTCCTTCATCAGGCAGAGCGTGACGAAGTGGCGGAACACGTCCGACCAGCCGCGAGACGTCAGCGTCGGGCTGTCGTTCTGGGCTATGTGGTACAAGGCACTCATCGCGTTCATGTTGAAGTAGGGCGGCTTCCGCTCGGCTGCCGGACGGGGGGCTCGCGTCAGCGGTGGCGCCGCGGCGCGGGGCGCGCTCACCAGACGCCGCCATCAGAGTGTGGCGACCGACAGTGTACGGATCCCCACTCGAGCCGGCAGACGCTAGAACTTTCGTTTCACGGTCATGCCTTGCATTGGGGAACTAACACTTATTAGTGGCTGCAACCCTGCAATTGCGCTACACTGACACCACAAATGCGTTACTTGCTAAGACTGGCGGCAATATTTAACCACTGAACATCGCTCACTACCCGCTGTCGAGCTTTTCGATTATTGGGGCGAGCACCCAGACCCACTGGACATCGAGATGCTCTGATTTGTCAAAATGACCCTCGGGTATGGCTACGCATAGTACAACTGCACTGGCAGACAGCGATAAAAACACAACCAGCCCGAGGCCCCACAAAAACCAACAGTGTGCAGAATCCGCTTAAGAGCTCATCATATAAGAGGACCAACATATGTGAGCAAGAACGCCATGGCGTCGCTTCCAGTGCCGTCTGCTCCGTCCACATCACGGCCGGGGCCCAGGCATACCGCCAGAGCCTGGCGTCCGGTCCTGCACCACGCGACGACCGGCGACGGTGCGCGCTCACACCCCGCAGACCCCCCGGCCCTGCTCGCTCCACCCACCTAGCTCGAGACACGTGATGCCCAGTGACCAGATGTCCACCTTGCCGTCGTACTGGCCCTCGTCCATGGCCAGGATCACCTCCGGGCTCATCCAGTACGGCGTGCCCACGAAACTGTTGGCCGGACACTTGAGGCTGGCAGAGCCGAAGTCAGCTGGAAGCCGACCAGCAGCATGTCAGCACGGAGGGGGCGAGCACGGCCCGGGTCGCCGCCGCCGCCTTCTGAGTCAACATGACGGGCGCCGCGCTGCCCGTCCAGTGGCGTGACCCGCACGTGACAGGCGCTGCCGTAATACCAGGCTGCACGCCCACACAGTTTAGCCACGGTGGCTTACCGGCGGCTTTGCAGATCATGCCTCGACACTCACAAACTGGAATGTGACTGGCACACTCAGACACAACCGCAATCTAATGCAACAACACATGCTTTCACGTCGCACAAATAAGCCTCCATCAAGAGCCTTAACGAATTCCTCAGAAGTAACCAGACGTTCACAACCTACCGCAGGGACTGGACGGCATCCATGTATGGCAACCGGGAAGGATACCGAATGGCTGCATCCTTCTTATTTGCAACAGTACTTAGTGTGGATTTCGGAGAAACGCCTTTGCTTCTCGTGCCCGCATCACTTTTTTCTCAACAGCCTTTGTAAAGTGACTGTCAATGTCAACAGCTGAAAGCCTCAACCCCCACTACTTCTTGTGGCGGCAAACCTGACGCGAAAACAAAACAGATGACTCAACGTCATCGCCAGCACAACCCCCGCATGACACAGCCGACCAAACTACCCAGCGTACACGCTCGCAAATGTCCGAACCCCGCCCCCAAAACCCCCCCCCCCCCCCGGGACTGGCAACGGTCCGGCGGACAGGCATCGGAGGAAGGGGGAGCCGGCCACCTACCGAGCTTGACGTGGCCGACCTCCGTCAGCAGGATGTTGCCTGCCTTGACGTCGCGGTGGATCTTGCCCATGGAATGGAGGTAGTCGAGGCCGTTCAGCACGTCCTGCGTGATAGCGGCGATCTCGTCCTCCTTCAGCGGCGCCTTGTGTACCTCGATGATGTCCGAGGCCGAGCCCAAGCAGTACTCCATCACAAACTGACGGCAGCGCCCGCACCGTCAGCGCTACACCGCGTACCAGCGGCGGCGGGTCATGTGACACCGTTCCATCGTTTAAGCGTCTAAAGCGCGCCGGGACAGGCAGCATCCCATTGCAAAGACGTGCGGGCACGAACCAGAGGAGGTCTGCGCTCCGTCACGGTTGCTTGGGTGAGGCAGTCTGCTACAAACGAGCGCTGCCCGTTCTTCGAGATCAGGGGGAAGGCTTCCGACCCGTGTTGCTCGCCTGACAAAATCGGCCGCCGTCAAAATCGGCGGCAAAACTCGACGCGAGAACAACTGTGCACAGTGAGCCGTGGAAGTAAGGGGAGGTATTTGACTCATCGAAGCAGCGGAAGCCATGAATCGAACCAGCAATGGCGAGGCCGCCTTGAATCACAAGCTCAGGACATGATTCGGCACATCTCAATGTCCGTCCCCCCGCTTTTGTCCGAACTGGCGGCGGCTTCCGACGAGCCGTCACCGCCGACATGCGGTGACACACGCCACCAATACCGGCTACCGCCGCAGCCGACGCGGCCTCCACGCTCGGCGCCGACACAGCCGCGCTCGCAACGCGTGCTCCCCGGGTCACAGCATCCCCGTGGCGTGACCTTGGCGATACGATACAGATTGGCGCCCGCTTCTTCGGCCAATTCCGTATTCGGGCGCATTCGGGCCTGCACCGCCACGTCTCTCACCGACGCAGCATCTGATCCCAATGACGTCGTCGCTCAACTCCGCGCAAGCCTTCGTCACGGCGCACCGGTTCCAGGCGGCGCCGGGGCCCGGACGGGCAACAGGCCCGGCCGCTGGCCGCCCACAGCCAGGCGGCTGGCGCGGGCGGCGGCCGTGAGTCAGGCCCGCCACGCGCCGATCCCATGGCGCAACACGCTCGCCAATTTGACGCATCCCATTGCAGATAGCAGCGGCCGGCGGCGCCAGGAGCCGTCCCCGGTCGCGCGGCATGCGGGCTACACCCGGCGCCAGATCGCTGCACCGGCCATATCACAAATCGCCAAGCGCCCGCTCTGGCCGCATCGCAAGTTGGCTCAGATCACAGCACGAGCGCATCGCTACGCGCAGCTAACCTAACTGGTGCCGGTCATATCAAGTCCTATTTATATGATGCCCATAACTGCGGGACTTCGATAATGCAAATCAGCGCCGGTGATATCAAGCCGCATTAATTTCAAGCCCACAAACCGTGGGACTACAATAATAAATGTAATGGAAGTTGTTGGATGTCGCCCCAGCATAACTATACTTCATATTACGTAGCCATGTTGGCCTAAGGACACCAAGAGTCAAGTCCCGTGTTCAATTATGCACCAAAAATTGTAGCCCTATGATTAGCCAGACAGTATATCGCGTATACAACATAAGCGCCTTCCGAACCAAACACCACTTCGTGTCAATCCTGGCCACGGGCGAAACACTTACTCTCGCTGTACAGACACATGCAAGCATAGAAAAGACACATCGCTTTCAAAACGTT